TTTTTTTTAAACATGATTAAAAAAAACTATTTTTTCATAATATTTTTAATTAATCTGCTAAAATTTCTACAAAAATACATTATCGGTAAATAATAGAGATTTTAACTTGTCATCCCTATATTATACCTCATTTATTACATAAAAATCCAAATAATAGATATTTTAACTTGACATCACTATATTATACCTGTCACCCCTCAAAATTTCTTATTACATACAAATTCAAATAATAGAGATTTTAACTCGTCATCCCCATATTATACCTAGCACCCCTCAAAATTTCAATATTCCCAAAATAATATAGTTAATATTTACCAATCAAATTTTACTTTTCTTTCAAAATTTTCATTTTTACTAACATACAAAAACAAAATTTTCGATAGTTATTTTGAAATTTCCGGTACGCTATTTTTTGCATTTTGAAAATTCATGCAATTATACTATAAATTTGAAAAAGTCCGGTAAAAAATACTAGAAATTTGAAAAAGTCTAGTAAAAAAATATTAGAAATTTCAAAAAAAATTCAGTATCCAATATCGAAAATTGTCAAAATTTCCAGAAAAAAAACAAAAACTTTCGAAAATTTTGAATAAATTTGAAATTTTCAGTAATAGAGCATAAATTAGGAAAAAAGCTTTATTTGGATGGTCCGAAGTCGGCAGAATCATCTACAGATTCGTGTAGCAATTATACGCAGTTCTTCACCACAGACAAAGTATATTTTCTATGTAACAAGTTGAAATTAAATATTTTCTCGCCCTTATATGATATTGATAGTATATTTTTATGTGATGTAAATGGCAGATATTTGAGTCCCGGTCTGAAGTATTAGTCTGAGCACAGAATATTGACAAACAACATGGTATTATAATTGTGATTGTTTGTCCTGATACTGCAAATGGTCAACGAGGTAGGAAAGATAAATTGATTATGATTAAAAGAGAGAGAGAGAGAGAGAGAGAGAGAGAGAGAGAGAGAGAGAGAGAGAGAGAGAGAGAGAGAGAGAGAGAAATTATAAAAGAAAGAATACATCTGAAAGTGGTAAATCCTTATAGGGCATTTATAGTATGAAAGTGAAATTCCTTTTAGGTTGAGATCTGCATCGAGTTGTAGCGGTTAGAAGGTGATGGTTAGGTATGGGTTTCACAATCATAAACTATTTAAGGATTTAGATGACCGTGACATATTAGATCATCTAAAAGTTCATAAGAGACAGTTTGTGAATGACATGACGAAGTACAACATGGCTCCGCAGTACATAGTTTTTGCCTTGAAAGACAAAGATTCATAAAACCTTATCAGTGTTACCCAAGTGTATAAAGTTAGAGCTTTATACATTGCGAGCAAGAGAGGTTCATTGAAGAAAATGCAAATGTTGTTGACTCTTATTCATAGAGAAAAAATATATGTGCTAAACAAGAAATATGGAAGACTCAAATGTTGTTATCGATATCTTCTGGACACATCCTGATTCAATGAAGTTGTTGAATATGTTTCACTTGGTGTTGTTTCTTGACTGTACATACAAGACAAATAGGTAATGTGCATTGTCGTCATACCTTGATATCATTTCAACATACTTTGATTTATTAGATTTTTGACTATTTATATCGTGATCATACAGGTATCGGCTACCATTGCTTGAGATTGTTGACGTTACATTAACAAAATTGACGTTTTTGATAGGCTTTACCTATTTGGGACATGAAAGGGAGGATAACTTCAAATGGGCACTTGAGAATCTCAAAGAGTTGTTCTCTTCTGAGAAATTGCTATCGAATATTGTAGTGACAGATCGAGAACTTGCGTTGATGATGCAATTGAAGTTGTGTTTCCAAATTCAACTCATATGTCATGTTCATTCCATATTTCAAAAAACATTAGTATGAAATATAAAGATTATGTTAAATCAAAAAGACATGAACATGTCATGGATTTATGGAACGACATCATGTATGCTAATAGAGAAACTAAGTTTATCGCACACTTGAAGCACTTTGAGACTATTTGTGTTGATATTCCTTTGTTTGTTATGTATGTGAGTGAAACATGGTTGACACCTTATAAAGAAATATTTGTTGTTGATTGGACTAAGAGAGTCACTCATTTAGGGAACACAAAAACGAATAGGTACACGAACTTCTTTTCGATGTTATTACATTACTAAGCAAAATTTATCATGCTGGCTCACTATGGTTTAATTATGGTTTTTAGGGCGGAGTCTGCTCATTGGAGACTAAAAAAACATGTTGACTACAATCCGGGGAGATTTATGCCAAAGTTGGGATGTTGTGAACACCATGTTGAAGTTGCAGCTAGATTCAATCTGGGCCTCATTTCAAAAAAGTATTGTCAATATTGAGCATCACTATAACACTCCATTTTATACTAACTTGCATTTTTTTGTTTCGAGGTAGTGTATACAACACATTGGGAAGGAACTAGAAAGGATAAAATTTATCGGTACAAGCAAAAATGCTTGTGGATACTTTATTAGAACAACACATGGGTTACCTTGTGTGTTTCAACTTGTCAGTTTCCAAATACAAGACTTGCTTGTTCCTTTAGATCCAATTCATGTTTTTTTGAAAGAAATTACACATTAAAGAGCATGATGTCAATCATGAAAATAGTGGTACAAAGTTGGATTTAGAAGAAGGGTGTAAAAAGTTGAAGACATATTTCAATTCTTTGGATATCGTAGACCAGAGGGTGTTGATGAAAAAGGTTCGGGAACTAGCACTTCCATCCATAACTTCTATGTGTCCCCCGCCAGTGAAGTATAAGTCAAAGAAGAAAGTTAAGAAGAGCATAAAGGGTGAAGAGAGTGATGTGCATCGTGATCTTTCACAGTGGGAGTATGGTGAGGGCTCGCAAGGGAGTCACACTACAAAGAGATCATGCGCGGAACCAACAAGAAGTCAACTGTCAAGTCTGCCAAGTCAAAGTCAATTGTTCACTACATCTTCGAGGCATCTTTACTTGTCTCAATTTCTTGGTTTCTTGCATCCATACATTGATGACATTGTTGATGTGGGTGACGATGGAAATTGTGCTTTTCGGGCTATTGTAGCTTTACTTGGATGGGGCGAAGAGTCGTGGTCGTTGGTTCATACACAGTTATGTACTCATGTTCATCAACATCCTAAATTGTTTTTCAAATTTTTCTATGACACGGTCTATGAAGTTAGGAATGCCTTAAAAGTAAGATCATTAGGTGTGCAGGGTCAAGAGAAATAGATGATGATTCTTGATATGGGTCACCCTATTGCTTGTAGGTACAATGTCGTATTTGTCTCCTTATCAAAGAGACTTAACATTATATTTTACCCTATGCATACAAGCAGGCATAAAATCATCTTGTTGGTTTCAACGACAACCATTGAGTTCAAGTAAAGTTGAAAACCTGATAGTCCATTGCCTCTCGTCACTTACCGTTGGAGACAAAATTGTATTGAAGATGTAAAAGTATGAGAATCAACATATGTATAACGAATTAGGCACTGGGAAGATGAAGTTAGGAGGTCATCCTAATTTGTTATGTAATCTTGGGCGTAGAACAACTTTTATGAAAAATATGTATCTATTATATGTGATGAATTTTTTATCAAACTATCTATGCAAACTGTTGTGTCAAAAATATTAAAATTTTATGTTTTTGAAAATTCTGGAAACATGCCGAAAATTTTAAAATTTCCGATATTTCAGAAATAAAAAATTTATAAAATTTATCAACATTTTATACCATAAATTTTAAAATTTTCTATACGTTTTTACCAAAAATTTTGAAAATTATATGTTCTTATTGGAATTTGAAATTTAGTCTCACGGAAGTGGTAAAAAACTGTAAATTTATAAAATTTTCGATATAGACTTGAAATTTCCAATAACATACTGTAAATTTTAAAAATTTTCAAAAATATAAAATAAGTTTGCTCAAAATGGAAGTGTCAGGTTTAAATGGGAGATGTCAAGTTAAATGCTCTAAATATGATACATTAGGCTCTGTTTACAAGTCAGAAGGAGAAGAAAATGAATGTGTTTCAAGAGAGTGAAGTAGAAGAAAAAATAGACAATTTTTTATCATTTAAAAAGATATATATTTTTGTAAAGAATGAAAAATAAATATTTATTGTTAATACAATTTTTAATTATAAAAGTATTATAACAACATAGATTAAATTTTAGAATTTATTTTAAATCTTCCTTCATTTCAACATTTAAAATTTTCCATTTTAAAAGAATTTTGAATATTGTAATTATTGAATGAATGAATGTTTGCATTGTATTCCAATCTCGGTTACAGCTGATAACAAACAGCACTTGTATAGAAAACCAGTTAGCAGAAGCTTAAATGCTAAAGGAATGCTAACTAAGCTCAACAGAAACTTAACAACTCTAACAAACTTGAATAACCTACTAACTCTTATGTATTAAACTTGGCTTGGTCTTGTGCTTTATTTCTAACATTATTGATAACATAGTACAACATTTACTAAAATATTGTGTAAGTTTTTTTTTTCTCATTTCTTTCAGCTACATTTTATTATATAGTCTGTGTACTTTTACTGACTGAAAACATGTCTCTTGATTGGACAAGTATAAATAGTTCAGCAAATTTTTGAAAAAATGAAACACTTAACACACAAATCTAGATAAAAATACAAGGATGAAGGAATTCATATACACCTCTTCAAACTCACAAGCCACAAAAATCACTAGCTGAGATCTAAAACATGAGTATATAAGAATACAAAACAAACCCAACAATGATTGAGCATTGGCTTCAGAATTAATTCAGCACCTATTTTAGGATAGGAGCAACTATTCTATTTTACATAAATTGCCTGACTAGTAATCTATTATGCTACTGTTCCTGACACCTCCAACAGACTAAAGACCGGTAAGACACCCTCTTAGTGAAGAAAACTAGTTATTAAGAGTACTGTTTCATTGCAGTTAAATAGAACCGCTCAAAAATAATTAAAAACTAAAATATGTTATCGAAAAATACCTTCTTCGCCATCCCACGGCAAACCTTTGAGAACATCTCTCAAAGCAAAATAGTGACTATCACATCTGTGGTCTGTGAGGAAATTGCCTGAAAGGATTATCCTCTGGAAATGCTCACCAGATTGCCTCTTCAAAAGGGTGTAAATTTCCTTTTCAACGTCATTTTGAGATACCGAGTTCCTCTTCAGATAGTAAACAGTCCCGGGTATAAATAACTCTTCAGATACTGCAGGTTTAGTTTCCTCGACTTTCACGACAACTGAATTCTCCTTTGCTGCTTTAGGGGGCAAAGGTGCTTCTCCAGTAACTGGTAACTCCTTACCAATTGGATCAACTATCGACACACACCAAAACAGTTACCAATTGGATCAACTATTGACAATTTGACACACACCGAAACAGTTCATGATAGAAAGATCGCAAGATAAAGGCAACTAAAATTCACAAATAAGCATTAAACATCAACAGGCACAAATTTAACTAAAAGTTTATTTTTTTATATGCAGATGGTGGCACGGTATAATAAGAATTTACTATCAATCTTACAGAGAAAATTATGTTCTGGACCAGAAAAGAAATGTTTACCAGATGGGGTTTTGTTTCCCCTGAAATTGGCATAATCAGCAAGTTTATGAGCTACATCTTGCACAGAAGACACTGCCTGCTTGGCATTTGTAACTAAATCCAGGAATCTTTTCCAGTCTTCTTTCTCAATGACACTCGTCCTGAAGGAAATCATATCATTTGGTCAAAACTTTTGCTAGCTAACTGCCAAATACATAAAAAGCTTTAGAAGACTTGAATCCCTTGATACCTACTAGATTTTAGATATTTAAGCTATTACTGTCCATATAAACTGTAGAAATATGGAAATGTTTTATATATCTTGTAAAAAATACATAAGAGGTATTTATAGACTATACATCTATCTAAATAAGGGTGTAATTATTCTCCCTATAAATGCTAATTATTCATAATAAATTGTATAGGATAGCAGCTCATAATGAGTTGTATAATATTCAACATATTCTAATAATAATAATACTAATATTACAATACTCCCTCTCAAGCTGAGGAATGGATATCTATCATCCCCAGCTTGCAAGTAAGATCTCGAAACCGCTCCAATGGGAGTCCTTTAGTGAGCACATCAGCTAACTAGAGTCCTGATGGGACGTACTGTGTAGAAATAAGACCACTATCCAATTTCTCTTTGATGAAGTGTCGGTCTATCTCTATATGCTTTGTTCTGTCGTGTTGGACCGGATTGTGAGCAATACTAATAGCAGACTTATTATCACAGAAAAGTCTCATAGGAGCTTCATATTTTATTTTCAAGTCATCTAGAATGATCTTCATCCACAACAATTCACAAACTCCTTGAGCCATGGCTCTAAACTCTGCCTCTGCACTTGATCTGACAACTACATTCTGTTTCTTGCTCCTCCACGTCACTAAGTTTCCACCTAAGAACATACAATATCCAGTGGTGGATCTCCTGTCAACAATCGACACTGCATAATCTGCATCAGTATAGACCTCCATAGACAACTGCTCACTTTTCTTGAACAATAGACCTCTTCCTGGGCTCATCTTTAGATACTGCAGGATTTTATCCACAGCCTGTAAGTGCCTCTCCTGTGGATCATGCATGAATTGACTGACAACATTAACCGGATAAGCTATGTCAGGTCTGGTGTGAGATAGATAAATGAGCTTTCCCACAAGTCTCTGGTATTGAGCTTTATCAACCCTTGGACTTTCCTCATCACTCCCAAGGTTTTGCTCTATAGGCACTCTGCTGGGTTTACAACCCAACTTGCTAGTCTCTTTGAGAAGGTCAAGGACATATTTTCTCTGAGAAATGAAAATGCCTTGTTTTGAGTATGCTACTTCCATACCTAGAAAATATTTCAACTTTCCAAGATCCTTCATTTCAAACTGAGCTGCCAACTCCTTCCTCAAGTTCATCTTCTCAAATTCATCATTACCTGCTATGACCATATCATCTACGTAGACTAACAAAAGAGTGAGTTTACCATTTTGAGAATGCTTTATAAAGAGAGTATGATCACCTTGGCTTTGTTTATAACCCAAGGACACCATAACATGAGTGAGCCTTCCAAACCAAGCTCGAGGTGATTGCTTGAGCCCATATATGGCCTTCTTTAATCTGCAAATCTTATTACTTCCTGAAGTAGGGTCATATTCAGGTGGGATCTCCATATACACCTCTTCCTCCAAATCTCCATGCAAGAAAGCATTTTTCACATCAAACTGTTGCAACTCCCAATCAAAGTGAGCTGCCAAGGAAAGAATGATTCTTACAGTGTTCATTTTTGCTACTGGAGCAAATGTCTCTTCATAATCAATTTCATAGGTTTGGGTGTATCCCTTTGCAACTAGCCTCGCCTTATATCTGTCCAGTGTGCCGTCGGATCGGTATTTTACCGTATATATCCATCTGCAACCTACTGGCCTCTTGTCATTTGTCTTCTCAATAATCTCCCAAGTCCCATTTTTCTCTAGTGCATGCATCTCTTCATTCATGGCTTGAATCCAGTTCTTATCCTTTAATGCTTCTTGTACTGATGTAGGGACTCTAATAGAGTCAATAGCTGGGATATAGGGTATTTAGTACAAGACCTTTTTTCTTTTCTCAAAGCAATAGGTAGGTCATCAAGGTTCAGCTCACAAGAATTATTAGGCTCAAGGTTAGGAACATTTACCTCAGGTTCAAACAATTGGACTTGTTGGGGCAGAACGGGTTTACCTTTCCACCTTTTTCGCTGGAACTGTAATTTGTATCTGTCAACATTATTATGCACCGGTATTGGTACATCACCACCATCCTCATCATTATTATGCACCGGTATTGATACATCACCACCATCCTCATCATTATTATGCACCGGTATTGGTACATCACCACCATCCTCATTAGGCATCAAAGGCTCTTGTATTACAGGAATAACAGACAATTCAGAAGACGGCTCTGGGTCCTGTATTAGAGGAATAACAGGAAGAATAGACAACTCTGAAGACTCAGCTTCTTGATTATTCTCCCCCTGAAGCTGAGGACTGGGATAAAAAGACTCTGATTCCTGAAAAGTAACATCCATATGGATATATAGACACGACGACTAGGAGGATGATAACACTTGTACCCCTTTTTATCTGAAGCATATCCTATGAAAATACATTTAATAGCCCGAGGATCTAACTTACCCCAATGAGGGCCATGAATATGGACAAAGGCATAACAACCAAAGACACGATTCTGAAGACTTGACAAGATGGGCACGGACGGAAAGAATCGAGTCAGGACCTGCACAGGACTAACACCAGATAACACCCTAGAAGGTAACCTATTGATTAAATAAGCAGAGGTCAAGACAGCTTCCCCCCAATAAAATTTAGAAACATTCATTTGAAAGCGTAATGCTCGGGTGATTTCAAGAAGATGACGGTTTTTTCTTTCAGCAACCCCATTTTGTTGTGGAGTGTTAACACAAGTCAACTCATGAACAACACCATTAGTTTTGAGAAAATTGCAAAAATTTTGGTTTACATACTCCTTACCATTGTCTAACCGTAACCGTTTAATAGGTTTCCCAAACTGTGTTTTGACCATTTGAAAAAAGTTAACAAACAATTGACACACTTCAGACTTATCTTTCATAAGAAAAACCCATGTAACCCGAGTACAGTCATCAATAAAGGTAACATACCATTTTGCCCCAGAAATATTGGAAATGGATGAAGGCCCCCATACATCAGAATGAACAAGATCAAAGGGTTCGACAGTCCTAGTATTACTAGGGGAATAGGTTGCTCGATGAGATTTGGCAAACTGACACACATCACAATGAAAGGAATCAACAGACACTTTGGTAAATAAGTGAGGGAATAGAGACCTGAGCATCTGGAAAGGAGGATGTCCAAGACGCCTATGTTGGAGCCATATTTGAGTATTTGCTCATGACTCTGAACCAGCCTGATGACACTTACTTCTGTTCCTCAGCAATTCCAATCGTCTTACCTATGGCAAGGTCCTAAAAAACACAATGAGAATGAAAAAAAGTTACTACACAGTTCAAGTCTTTAGTGAGTTTATGGATGGACAACAGATTGTTAGAAAGCTTAGGGACATGAAGCACATCATTTAGGTGGAGAAATAGGCTTAGGTGGATGTTACCAGATCCGACAATCGGGGTTTGAGACCCATTTGCAACAGTAATATGGCGTTTATTACGTAAAGGTGAATAAGAAGAGAGATATGACATATATGGAGTCATGTGATCAGTTGCACAGAGTCAATAATCCAGATATCTTTAGAACAAGAGGCATTAAAAGCTAAGGAGCTAGAGTTATTACCCATCATGGTCAGAGAACTAGTGTTAGAGAACTTACTCAAGGAGTCCATAAAGAGAAACAAACCGTCTCGAACCAGGAGAGGATCGAGATCTACTGTTAGGAGAGGATCGAAGGGCTGCCAATTAGAAACACCAACAACGATGACAACCGAACAATCAAGGACTGCAAACAGCAAGTAAATAGAGGTACAACAATGAAGTCTGTCCTGAAAAAAAGATGAAGGTGAAAACGTCCGGATCTGCAACGGCGGTTGAGCGGTGCACGATGGCTGCAAAGTCACCAAGATCACTAGGGTTCCAAGAGAAAGGGAACCTTGACAAAAAAAAGAAGGACCGTAATAAGAACGACTAGTGTTTTGAGCGCGGAAGCAGAGCCCCTAGAATCAGGAGCTCTGATACCATGTAGAAATATGGAAATGTTTTATATATCTCGTAAAGAATACATAAGAGGTATTTATAGACTATACATCTATCTAAATAAGGGTGTAATTATTCTCCCTATAAATGCTAATTATTTATAATAAATTGTATAGGATAGCAACTCATAATGAGCTGTATGATATTCAACATATTCTAATAATAATAATACTAATATTACAATAAAACTCTATTTGGAATATCCAGTAATAATTCACACATTTTCACCTTCATATTGTCTTGGTAAATATCACCTTCCAGAAAATGGAGTTTCCCATTCATTACACTAAACAAAATTCACATGTGTGATGAAGATAATTGTGAAGGTAGGGATTAAGTGGAGTAACTCAGCAGAGTTCTTCCACATAAGTTTAACAACTAATTATAAATATAAATTTTCATCAACCTAACTGTCAAATTAAATGTTCTTATCGAGTAGATAAACTCCCTATTTTCATAAAATTACAAACTTCAAAATTATTTGATACTTCACCAAATAACTTCAAAAGAACATTAATAAGCTTTTTATAAATATAAGAAATTGTTGACTGTCAAATTAAATAGCCATAAATTTCAGGTTTTTATGGAACTCGACGTGCTTGAATGTTAATATATCATAACATTCAACGGTTGGATTGTAAATATTCACTGTTTAGATTGAGTTATTAAGTGAATAAACTCTGCTTAGACTAGAGTTAGTCCTGAAATAACTTGATCTTTTCTCATGATAAAATATATGAATACTTTTTATAACAGAACTGCAACTGCTTTGTTAGTTTTTTCCCGGTCATGTCCTATTTTCTTAAGGAACAATAAGAGAGATTCTCAGTTCAAGATAGTAAATTAAATGTTACTCACCAATCAGTTTGAAGAATTTCATTTCTTAGCCTTGTTAGTGAAGCTACACTTAATCTAGGTATAATATCATCCTGTGTAATATATTGAAAAACAAGATGTCAAAAGGGAAGCACGCATTATAGATTAGAGATAAATACAAAGTTAGGGAAAAATAATCAGACACATCAGAGGATGTGAATAGATATAATCTTTTTTTCCTGATCAAGTCATAGAAGCATTGTGAAATGCAATCACTCACCTGCATCACAACTGTTGTTACATATCCAGCGCAGCTTTCGGTAAGTTCTTTGGAAACACAAGGTGGGGTTCCATATGCAACAGTAGATACAATGTCGGGGCTAAATCCCAGTTCCTTTGCTGATTTTCTACGGATCATTATTGCCAGTAAAGAAGCTATTGCACCTCCCAGAGAATGTCCCACAAGTCTTAATCTATATCCCTGTTAATGAGTTAGCAACACCTCACAGTATTGGATAGTAAAACGGCTAAACTAAAAATGAAAATCATTTCATATTCGATAAATTAAAACAATCTCCACCTCATGTTTTGCCAAATATTTTCTTATGTTTCCAATCTCATGGTGAAGAAACCAACGAGCACATTCGGCGGTGCCAAAGTGGGTTGAATAGCCTTCAAAGGTTACTTCACCATCACTTGAGGAAACAATATCAGTGATAAGGTCATATAAAGCATGTGTGCCACGAATGCCCAAAATTACAAGCTTTTTACGGGTGTCAACCCCTATATAATATGCAGGCCTCATTACACTGGAGTTATTAACAAATTTTATGATATTACTTTCTCGGAGCATGCTGTTCCTTGCAAGAACCGTAGGATTATCCTTATAAGCACCTTTAGCCAACTCAATATGATAAATGAGATCTTGAACCTGAAATCCAGTATGACATAATTGTTAAGAATAGTGGAACACGATAATTTGTAGAGATATACCAACATAACCAGATAAGATTTCAATATCGCATGAGATTATGTGCCTTAAGCCTCTAAAAAAGGTACAGTTTCAGAATTACTATTGATTCTGACGATATTTGGATGCCTTTGATATCTTCAAATGGATGTGTTGAAGCTTGACGAAGATAGATCAGATACAAGCCAATTGTAAGGTCACTCAAACTCCAATCCTGGATTCCGATCTTGCTTCGTTTGATGAAGGAAATTATTTCCATAAGGGACCGGTTATTTGGCGGAGGTTTGTTTCCAATTCTATCTCCTGTATAACATGGAAAATAGAGCCAGCCTTTTGTTATTATATAGAAAACTAAAACACTTATATGATCAATTTTTTATAGGGGAAATATTCGGTAATGATCTATAAATGTTTTGTATAGCTTGTTTCTAACATGCTTTATCGAAAGGTACTTGCAATTTGCAGTCATGCTGGCGATGTCTAACTCCATCAGATGAAACATGTTATAAAGTTAACACTTAACAGACCTGTTGGCAGAGCCCACCTACAAAATTGCAGAGCCGGTTCAACTGCCTTAGTGAGCCAAGCCAGCTCTAACTTCCACTTACTATCCGATGAATCTTCCTCATCAGAACTGTATTTGCTAATCCTGTTATTGTCATCTGCCTTCTTAACTTTAGACTTCGATGAAAAGTGACAACCTTCTTGCTCTTCTTTTAGCTTTTCTTTTTCTACCTTGTCTGCTCTTGACCTTTGCAATTGAAGTCGGTTAAAAACACTGTGCATGTAGTTCCGATATGGTTCTTCTTTGTTGAGAAAATATTTGGTACAATCTGCATATAGAATGAAGAAAATAGACATAAATATCCCGATAGTGTTTACTAGCAATAGCAAAACAATTGCATACCATTCTGTTGGACATTTGGTGATATTAGTTATTCATGAACCTTTGAGTAAGATATTACAGCATCAACAATGACCAGATTTATAGCAAAAAATCTCCTGTTGGAGACAGGTCATGGAGCATCATTCATTAGTTCCCTTTCATAAACCCCTTGAGGAAACAAACTCATTTAATAGAGCTGTGAAACATATAAGTAGATTGAGTGGGTTCAAACCCCATAACTCTGTCTCTATTTTTTTCCCAATTCCTTTCTCTGTTCCTGTGGGGTCTTGAGCAATGTTGTAAAACACGAGATCTTAAGTAGGATCACCCGGCTTTTGAAAGATTGTAAAACTCGGATCGTTAGCACGGCGCGTAAGATCCCACCGAAGAGAAAAATAGTAATTTCATACATACTTATACACACATACACAAAAACATGAAAACTATAATACGATCTTGCTTTAAAAAGCTCAATCTTGACCACACCGAAGTCGAAAACGATCTTTCTCTGATCGCAGCACTCTCGGGCATCCTTAGCACTTAAGACATTACGATCTTACAATCTAGCACTCGATCTTGACTACACTGATCTTGAGGGCTTCCCAATGACACTCAATGACTATGCAAAATGATTATTTGTAAGTTATGTCAAAATATGTTGCAAGGATTACAACCGGTGTTCTCAAATATCAGCCATGGCATCGCTATGGCAAATCCCGGAGGGCAAATGTTTTTTGACAACCATCATAGCCAACTTGTGAAGGATGACGGATTGCAGTGGCAAATATTTTGGCAACACCAAGGCGGATTACAGTGAAGAATGGCACCGCGATGGTGTATTTTTCGCTCTCCGCCCTGGTCTGTCACCCGCAACCGATAGCACTTATTACAACAACAAAAGTACTTTATTTTTATTTGGTTAAATTACTTACAAGATCAAACAATGTCATAATAACTTATTCTAAGTCACATCAAATGAAAAATCACTTAAATCAAAATCCTCTAGAATCTCCTTGATGTGGTTTCAATAATCCAACTTCACAAATTATTATCAAAAATTCATAATTTTTTTGTTTTTTGATTATCTGCAATTAGGGTAATACAACAAAATTGGATTACTGATTTTTCAGTTTTTTCATAAACGGATTATTCTAATTGTTACATAAATCTACATGCAATTATCTTTTTGCATGAAATTCATAGTCTCTAACTGGGACAATTCATTTGATGCAGCATTGCAAAAATATAATCATGAAATTACAAACAAATTCAAAAAAAATCAAAGTATTGAATTGAAAGGGGAGGAAATGAAGTTACAGATATTGCGGAGGAGTTGCTTGACGTATCGAGTGTTCATTGGAGGAAGTGAAGGAAAAGATTATTCTTTGAGTTGCAGAAACATGTCACCGCCTAAGGGAGGAATAAATACTTGGCATCTTCTTCTTTAAATTTCTTTCACACGATTTTGCAAATGGAACAATAAACTATTAAGGGTAAACTATATTTTTGTTATTACAAAATTACCGGCTTCCCTTTTACATGGATTTATGTGTGATAACATGACACACATTAACCACCCGGCCAAAAGCATTTAATTGTATAAATATAGGCAAAATACTTTTTTTTTTTTTTCTTTTAACTCTATTTTGAAATATAGTTTAGTTTTTTAACTTTAAAAAGTGATAAGTTGGTCCTTTAACTTTTAAAATAGTGTCACGTTTATCCTTTTGTCACTTGTCGTTAATCAAAGCTAGTAAACTGGTGTCACGTTTGTCCGTGCGGCATTTATGTTGTTGACGTGGAAATAACATGTATTAATATAAATTCTAGTGTATTCTTTCTTTCATTATCTCAGAAACTCAAACGATTAAGTTAGGTTTTTGTTGTTGCGATTGAAGACGAGTGAAGGCGTGACAGATTGAAGGCTAATAGGGTTGTTTCATCAACGACGCGACGGATTGAAGACGATATCCAGATGTGCAACCAACCAAGTTTAGGAAGATGCCTGGTAGACCAAAAAAGATGATGAATCTTGAACAAGGAGAAATTGATGGGTCTGATGGCAAAATGAGAAGAATAGGTTTCGTGGTGAAGTGTAGTAGGTGTAAGAAAGCAAGACACTACAAGTCTACTTGTAAGGACACAACACAAGTTGCTTAACAATCAGACCAACCATCTCAGACTCCAACACATGTTGCTCAACAATCAGGCCAACCATCTCAGACTCCAACACAGGCTACTTAACAATCAGGCCAACCATCTCAGACTCCAACATAGGCTACTCAACAATCAGGTCAACCATCACAGACTTCTAAGGGAAAGTCTACTCAACAATCAAGTCAAGCATCTCATACTTCTAAGGGAATGGCTACTCAAAAGACTCATGGACTTTCTAAGTGCAAGACTCAAAAACTGCCTGTTAGGAAGGTCACAAGACCTTTTGTACCACTTGGGCCTACAACTAGGTTGAGTGTTGTCAAGAATATTGTTGACCCAATAACAAAGAGGACTACTCCAACTAAGAGGACCACACCAAAGAAGAACCTCTAGATATAATTAAGCTATCAGTTTATGTATTTTTTGGTTTTCGGAACTGCTGCCATGTTTAATTAGGAACTAGTTTATGTATTTTGGACTTTTTGGAGCTGTTGTCATGTTATGGAACCAGTTTATGTATCACTTTATGTATTTTGTGGAACATATGTATTAGGTTATATGTTTGTTATAGAACTGCTATCAAAAATCAACAAAAGTTATGTATCTATTATGGAATGGAACATATGTGTCAAATATTGCTAGATTCTGTGTTTGAAACTGATACAAATTCTGCTATAGACCATTACAGGTCATTCTCAAAATTATTTGTCAATATTTAACTTCTCTTAACATACCAAATATTAAAAACACATTCAACTTTATGGTAGAGATCATTTATGGTATAAACCATTGTATCAGGTTATATGTTGAAACCTAGGTCTGATTTGGGATGGAATGGAAATGAAGTTGAAGAGAAGAGAATTTCCCTAACTATGATTTCTGAAATTGGGAAAATTGGGAACGAGAAGGGAACAAGAATGAAACAAGAAGATGAAGTTACCTTGCCAAGTCATCTTCCACGTATTAACAATAAACGGACGTTTGAGAACAACTAACATTGAGGACTCAAGTGGCATCATTTTAAAAGTTAAATGACCAACTTGCCACTTTTTAAAGTTAAGGGGCCAAACTAGACCCCGAGCTAAAATTAAGGGATGAAAAGGGGTATTTTTCCAAGAATATAGTATGTTCTAGAAAAGGCAAATAATTCATTCTCTTCACACATCCCTCTATGTGGCCACTTCTACAAACAAATATCTTTTTGTTTGGCCACCTAAACAAACTCTTCTTCTACAAACAAGTTTTCAATTTCAAATTTCAAATTTCAAATTCTTTTTACTCTCTCTCTCTCTCTCTCTCTCCTTTTTGTTCTTCTTTCTCCCTCTTTTTCTTCTTTCTTCCTCTTCTTTACATACCATATGGATATCGTCAAAGTTCTTCCAATAACAAATTCAGATCCTTACTCAGTAACACCTTGCTAACGAGACCCTAACTGAAGCCGATAAAGCTATTGATATCAATCCTACAGATGCGATTTTGTATCTTCGCAAAGCTACAAATGTGTTTGTCTTGCCATGTCGTATCTGACTTTTTGTTGTTATTCTTTCAAGAAGATTGAACCAGGTTTTGACAGGTAAGCCAATATTTTGGTTACTTCAATCTATGTTGGTGCTGAAACCCAATCTTCTCAAGCAAACCCTAAAAGCTAATGTGCTGAAGCCCAATCTTGCGATTTTGGCCTTTGAAGTAAGTGTTTTATTTTCTTAGTAGTGTATTATAGTTGTTATGACTGTTGTGTTGTGTTGTGTTGTGTTATGGTTGTTGAAGTTAATTTGATTGAGGTCTGGTTTTCAGTACGGAAGGGCTCCAGCAAAATTGAAGTGGAGATTATTTGAAGTTGGAGATTATTGAGGTATAGTTTTGCATTTTTTTTTGTAAAATTATATTTGATATTCTTACTTGCTTATATATTTTTGTTAGCATGAGTTATATTAGTAAAATGTGTTATCAAGAGCTAAAATCCTCAGTATTAATCTACACAAGTAGTAATACTAGCACATTCCCATATTTCTATACTAATTTATTTTTGTTTGACTTTATGCAAGCTTAATCTTAATGGCTCCAAAGCTTCAAGAACCTATGATTCTGAAGATGACACCCTAAATTCGATATTGAGCTTTTTTTTAACAAAGAAAATTATACATTCATGATGTTTGGGGAGGTATAATCAGAGATAATTTCCTTAATTTTCCCCTTCCCATGTGTGATTTATTTTAAATCCTTTTTATTATTTACTGATTTTGGAATTAGATTTTGTTTGTTATTGCTTAAGTGGAATGCGTTGTGTTTTGTTTGTGTAGGGCATTATGAAAAATGTCCCTCCATCAGAAATGATAGAATCTTGCTCTCTTGTTGGTCCTGGATTTGTGAATATCGTCTTATCAAAGAAGTGGATAACACAGGTGATTGATTGCTTTTCTATTTGTAGTTTTAAATTAGAAATAGTATGTGATGGGGGTATGTGTCTCCATATCCTAATTTCTTGGGTAGTATCTGCATTGTAGTGCGTGTCAATTGAACTATACACTTAACATAAATTATTTCTCCTGCATAGCATACAAAATTTGCTTACTAAAGGTATTGATTCTTAGGTTGTAAGACTGTTAGGTTGTAAGTTATATTTACACATAAACAAGTGTTGGATCATCCTTCTATTTCAATTTATGCAAGACTTATATTTAAGGATAATTGTTTCCTAAAAGGGCATATTGACCCAATATCCTCCTTCTAATTTTTGTTTATGTAATTTCCTTTATTTTAATCAGGGGATCAGCTAGCTATAGGAAAGGAAACATGCCGCCGCTTAGGAATGGGTACCAATATGTATCCTTCATCTGTTGTACTTGGGCAGCACAAGGACAAGTCTATTGCTGCCTTACCCGTTGATGATCTGATAGAAAAAGCTTACGGATTTGTTGGCGTATTTCCTGGTATGTTTCTATATTATGGTTGCACTTTAATGTGGTAATCATGTATCATGTGGCTCTTTTCTCATATTAAATGTTTTATGTATTTGGACGGAGCTCATGTATGAGATTGTGAAACGCTTGCAAGCTAGGAAACATATTTGCAAAATGATCGTTGTAATACCCTAAAATTTGCCCTTTCGTTTTAACCGTAACTAGCTTATGTTTCGTTCATCTTTGCATTATCATTGTGCATATCATGGCATTGACTCTTGAGACATGGGATCAAGGTGTTTCTATGGCTCAAGGCTTCCTTTAATTGCAAGTTTTTAAGCGGTAATCATCAGAAGCTTCAACAGTTATTTTTGTTCAACAATAGGATGTCGGATTTTAATTTCCAACAGGTTATTTCGAGTGCATGAGACAGTTCACTTGTTATTTCATGCATTTTATAGGTGCAATCAAAAGACAAGTTTCAGAGGCTTAACGGGGCTCAGAACAGGTGGCAACGGGTATTTCTCTAGGTTTCCCTCCTTATTGCGCCAAAAATTTAAAATTTTGAATGTGGTAATCGGTTACCACAATCAGGGTAATCAACTACCTCAAGCGAAATTTGCAAAAATGCTTCAAATTTCAGCACCGCAGAATTTCCAATCATTCTCACCCCTTGATTTCACATGTGCATCATTGAAAGGATCTAGAATTGATTCATTTTCATAAATTCCCTCCAAAAATTCAAACATTTCGTTTCTAATTCCACTTCTAATTTTCATTCCTCACACTAACTCACACTCTAAACCACATTTTAATTCCTAACCTGTTGCGGTTAGAATAGGATATCAAACTATTAATTAGTTTGAATCACATCTTTAGTTCACAACTGGTCTTTGATTTATTCGAAGGAAATGTCAAAGAAAGGAAAAACCTAATTTTGCCTCGTAAACAATGCGGGGAGAGATCTAGGTAAGGGGTTGGTTAAGCATAGGGAAGGTATTAGCACCCTAAACTTCTGTAGTAGTCTACAGGAAACTTTTATTTAAAGTTTACTATTTTTCTTGATTATTTGCTTAAGGGTATATTGCTAAAGGTTAGGAAGCGAAAAGAAAGACCTAAGGGTTAGTCCTAATTTTACTCGCCAAGACTCGCATCTTATGCCTACGTATCCTAGGTAGGGGATGGAATTAGAGTAATCATAGTTCCCCTTGAAAGGGAGGTTAGAAACTTCTTGATTGTGGTCAAGGTTTCAATGGGGAATAAGCGTTCTTAAGGAAGCGCTTACATGGAGTGCGGAGAC